AGTGGAATATCGATATCTAACTTCACTTAAACTTTTTTTACACCAAAATACAAAAATAAATGGGTTGTGATCTTCGATAAAATAAAAGGTTATAATAATGAGCATGGTAAAGAAAATCTATGTATACGGAACCTAATAATTTATAATTTTATATTCTTAAGTCGACGAAAATATATTATTAAATTGTCTCCCGAACCCCACTTATTTAATTGTCATTAGTAAGCAAAATCAATAATTGGACGCAGTTACTTTAATGTTTTTTTTTGTGATAGTGCTATTACTAAAATTAAACAATCACACTAAATAATTATTCCGAGATTCCCTATTGAAAAAGCTAGCTTTCCATAAGCATCAATGTCCATTTTAGTATTCTGAAAAGGACTAAGGTGGTTACAAAAAGTTTGTGCTGCTCTCTGTCATCTAACCACACAAGTGCAAGTATTTGTTTATGCCAATACCCATGTCACACTTTTACTTATGTCATGTATATTTGAAACTTTTTTTTTTTAATTTATTTCAATGCCATTTTTACCGACAATATGATCTCGTAGTAAGAGTATATTACATCATTTGGTTAGGTCATTATGTTTCCCAATTTAAAACTATCAAGACATAACTATAGGAAACTTCAACCAAAAAAAAGACCATACATATCTTAGCTAGTTTTGGTACAACTAGTTCACATGCCCAGTTCTTAACCATCATTTTACCCTTATTTGTAGCAAAGAATTGGAGGCAGGTAACCATGTGAGAAAATCATACACAGATGCATCAATTGCATTTGTAGTGGAACCACCGAACCTACGAAGTGCCTCATATATGAGAGGTTGGGTGTGAGGAAAAATCTAATATATTCCCGTGCCACCGAATATTAAGTAGGAAGATAGTTTAAAATGAAATTATTTATTATATATTTCGAAAAATTTATGATATGAAAGTTTTTTTTTTTTTTTTCTTTTCTCTTGTAGAAAACATATCAGACTATTGTGTTATACTCACATTGATGCGGTGCACATGAGACAGAAGTAATGAAGATTTGTTCCGGGTATGATGGCTATGAGAGTACCAAAGGCCTAAACCCATAAAGCAAAAGGTTATATTTTTCACTGTTTGACACATAAATGCTGATTGAACAGAACCAACATCCCTCTCCCTCCTCCCCAAAATCCATAAATGCTCACATTAATAGCCACGGATTTGTCTCCTCTGAGGCCTTTAGACGATTCCTGTACCTCCTTAAATTAATATTCCAACCTCCTCAGTCGCTAGGTAGTTGAAAATTTAATGCAACTTCTTCAATGCTACCACCACCAGCCACATTTCATGGTCTCATGTTGGGCACTACCTTCTTTAAAACTTCACACTTTCTCATGTTTCTCTCTCTATATATCTCTTTTGTTTTATCATGTTTCTTCTTTCATAGATCACTGTCATTTGAACCATGAGTTATATGAATGTTACATTATTAGCAGCACTCTCCTACCCCCCTCAAATAAAAAAACATAAAGGGGCCCCTCTGAATTTTTCTTATCAATTTCAGTTTCATGTTTTTATTTTGATACTTTATTTGTGATTGTCTTACAACAGATGGGTGCAAATGAACCAAACATGGTGGCAATGAGGGGTAAAGGGAACGGTTTAACGGGATATTGGTGCGGTTCAATAAGAAAACCATGCTCAAAATGTTTGGGCCCTTAGCTTTTTTATTGAGCCGTGCCAATATCACGAGCCAATGCTCTTAACACTCTGAAGCCTTCTTATCAAAGGTTTAAAGGTGATCCTTCTGTTTGCATTTTTGGCCTTCTTTTTCATTCGAAGATATGCAGGTTGTCCTCTTAATCATTCTCGTTTACTTTCTGATTTTCCTTTACGCTTTAGCCCTTTTCTTTTCCTTAATATATAACACATTTTCACTACATTTTTCATTCAATTATGCTTTCAAAAGTAATAAATCAAGAAATAATTTAGGTACTGAAGCATGTGGAATATTGGGCATTTCCGTATGAGAACATTTATGTCTCAGAGTAAAGAGTGGAAGCCTTGTGCTGTTCTTGAAACATGCTCTATGTGACTGTCTCTCTAATTCTACACACGCACGTTTCATTTTACGTATCTGTTTCTATGTATACCAACACACGTATGCATCATATTTATTTGTTCTCAAAACGAATACGTATACTTCAAAGATTATGCTTGAAAAAACAGAGCCATTTTCAAAGATATGATGTTAATTGGTTACTTAAAAACAATTCATTTCTACCATCTACTATTGATAAAAAAGAACACGCATAGTTTTTCAATATCATCTTCACTCTCATTTTTTTCCATCAGGTCCCCTAAATTCCTTTTTTAGTTCACATATTTAGCTAATAATAAAAAAAGTATCCGTATAAATAAAGTTGTTAAATATAATTTGATAATTGTGTCTAAATTAATGTATCTAATTTTCTTAATTTTCTCTATTCTTATCTCACAATTTTCTTCGTTAATAATAAAACTCTTACTTTTTTCTCTTTACTTCACTTTGTTTTCCTAAATTCTGTAAATCTAATCTTTTTTTTTTTCTGGCAAGCGGGGGTATGTAACTCTTTTTTTTTTAGGTAAACAGGGGTATGCAACTCTACTCATACCTATTCATTCATTAAAAGGAGAAAAAAAATCATTTTTAACTTCTGTTTTGTAACACATCTAATTTACATTAAAAATATGATTCCTCCTAAAATTTATCAATTATATGCATGTATAGTTTATATTCTGTGGCACACATGACCATACTATTAAATTTTACATTTTTTATGAGAGAAAAAAAAAACAATAATCTCCCGTTTCTTGTTTGTTTTGAACGACATGGTTGGTGAAAATTGAAGCCAACTTCGCGTGTAAGATAGGGTCAAAGCTATACAAAAATTATATAATTAACAAGCCCCTAGATGGAATGTGTTAGGAGCGAATAGCTGAGCAGGAGAAGTCTTTTAATAGGGATTGGTATACTTAAATAATATAATATAATTGTTGAGATCGAAAAGGTCTTTAACGGGAATTATTCTTATCCAATTGAACGTGGGACACGTCTGAAAAACCAAGAAAAATAATAAAAATAATATAATTAGGGACAGGTTATATTTACAAATTTTTTTGTTTACAAATTCTTACAAACTACACTATATTTTCCCGGGAGAATATAAACTTTTACGAACTACACTATGTTCTCCCGAAAGAATATAATGTAATTTGTAAAAAAATTTGTAAAGAGATCCTATTCGATATAATTAACATCTAAGTAAGGGCTTGAAGTTCCCATTATAAACTTTGCGTAAGACCAAAATCAATTCTTCTTTTTAACGTTCCAGTTTAAATTTTTTTGGAAACTACTTTTTCGGGCCGAGTACTATATGAGTAAAGGATTTCTCTAAAGATATAAGTTATTTTTGATAAGTACAAAATGACGTCATTTTGTACTCATCGAAAATTAAAGTATTTTTGTAATTCTAATATATTGTAGGATTATATTAATCTTTATTATTATAAAATTTTAATCTTATAATTTAAAACGACGTCGTTTTAAACTCACTAGAGATAATTTTATCTCCGGTAGCTGGAGAAATACTTCTCCCTAATTCCATATACTCACATTAGTTGGAGTTGACTTGCCAGGTGAGGTAGACCCACACAATGGGTCTAAACCTTTTCTGCACCTTGCCTTTATTTTTGTTTTCAAATGAAGGGTGTTAAATTATGTGAAACATATTATCTATCTCAGTTGTCATATTTATGCTTACTGAAAGCTCGTTATAACAGTTTAGCTAATAGGAAATACATTAATTACATTTTACCTTTGAACCTGAATTTATCTCCATTTGGCAGATACTGACTTGCATGAATTTCCTCAGAGTTGGACACTGACAAACTGAAGTTGCTTAAAAGATACATACATTATATGTCATGGTTACAGTTTGTTTATTCAGTTATTTATTTATTTTCCCTTCTAAAACAGTGTTTTGAGTACAATTTGTGTACAATCCTCTAGCAGCATTATTTAATATTGGTCTCTGCACATGTTTTCTGCTACTCGAAGCAATGAATTTGTACCAAGAACAATCAATGGAAAGTAGTTCTACCTATTTCCATTTTTGTGCCTTGTTGGTAACCATTGCCTTTGCCTTATTCTATTATGTTTTGGAAAATGGTAGTTGGAACTTGCAACATTTTTTTACCCCTTTCTCACACCTCTGGTTTTGATTTGATTCATACTTCATTACTCCTTGTATTGCTTCAGAGTGGAAATTGCATAGAGAACAAACTTGGCCAGTTATCATCATCATGATCTTCTAGAGAGTAGGGAGCTTATTCCCTAAACTAGTCATTTGAGAACTTTGAACTTTTCTCACCCGTTGACCCCAAAAAAACCACGATATTTCTTATCAACCTTACATCTAAATAAGGGAACCCCAACCCCACATCATGTTATGGTCAAATCATTAGGGTTTGCAACTTTCAAGTACTTACGAATAACGCATGAAGAAGGGCTAATTGACTTAACATGCCTTTTGCCTTTCCATAGAGAAGATCCAAACAACTTAGTAAAAGTGGTCTTTCTCTAACTGACAAAGAAGTTAAGACATTCGCATGGGAATTCAAAAGATTGGACTATCAATTGTTTAGTTGGAAATTCTTGGCTTTTCCATTTTTACGTTGGTTTAATGCATTCTTATAAAATAGCTGCATATTGCTTTAACTGAATTGGTATTTGGGGGGGGGGAAATATGCAACTTATTTTGTATGTTTGTGTCATTGTATTTAGAGTATGGTATATTTAATAGAATGGTAAAAAAGTAAGGTCAGTCCCCAACCTTTGAAGGTTGAAGTTCATGTGAATTTTTTTTTTTTTTCTAGTGGAATTGCTTATGCAACAGATATGCCCCCTAAGCTAGAAGATTACTCGCGTAGAATAAGAAGATATTATTGAGAATCATTTCAACAAAAACGAAAAATTAGGCAGAAGGAAGGGCAGCAATAGCAACCCAATTATATCTATTTATTAGGAGCTTGATAGCCATGGAACTATTAACAAAACAGAGTGGCCCTTCAAGCATCAAAGAATGGATGAGGACAATCTCGTGCTTCCTCTTCTAGCTGCTACCATGGTCAATCTCCTCTTAAAATGCAGAAGGTCCATGGGGCAAGCATTCTCTCTCTCTCTCTCACACGCACACTTTTCTTACACCTGATTTCTCGTGTAACATGATATTTCTCTATACTGCACAAATATATATATAAAAAGAAAAAGGAAATCTCGCAGTCTTGATTCATTGCCGTAATAATAATCTTCCTGAGTTAGGAAGAACTCCAAAGTTACCTCCTAGAAAGAGGCACTCCACAAAGCATTCTCACCTTCTCCACACCTCCTATGTACCTCTTTAATCCTTTCAGCAGACCTGCAAATTCCACTGCAACTCCAATCAAATGAAGCAACACAAATGTTGCCTGCCTGTGCCTTCCATTCACAATCTGCAAGAGTAACCAACTTGATAATTTGAAAATGTTCACAGCTAAAACTTCATAAACAGACCAAACAGATAATAGTAAAGGACAAACTCCAGTGCACAAGGCACCCTGACTTGAGAGGGTACAGGTGAGGATCGAAGGCTCACTCTCAGCAAACAGATAATGATATGATCACATAAATCATTTAAAGGGGTCAATATAATATATATATATATATATATATAGGGCTTAACATTTCTGCAGCAGCCGTAGATAGTGTTATCTACAGCTGACACAGAAAAGTGGGCCCCACGGCTTCTTAAAAAAAAAAAAAAAAAAAAAACTCAGGATCCGTTGCCGTATCCTAGGATTCGGACGTGTATCCTTGCTTGCTGTAGGTACAGCAGCTGCAGAAATCATTTTGCCATATATATATATATATATAGAAAAAATATTCACCTGGAGGAGTGCCACAACAAAGTCTTCGGTCATCTATATGCTCCGCATCAAGTCCAATAAACCAAGATCCAAGTGACACATCCTCATTGGCATACTTGTGAAGAACATTCCTGAGACAAACATATATACACAGGAAGAGGGCACCATATTAGCACCCTTTAATCCATTGATTTGATTCAATTTTTAAATTATTCTTTTTCCCCCTCATAAGTGAGATGAAGTAGGACTTACTGGTTAATTGATATGTATGCTGCCAGATCGTTTGAAATGGCATACAACTGTCCTGTGGCGTGACGGAAGTACTTGTTTCCAGACTCACCAAACTTCCAATGCTCAGGTTCATGGTACCTTACCCCTCTGTGCAACCAAGTAGGGAGGTAAGAAGCTAAAGTCAAAGAGTTTAAACTTTTCGATTCAATAAAAACAAAGATCAAAGAAAAATATCTCCCACTTTTGAGATAGGACGGGTCCAGATTTCATGCATCCAATGTATATCCGTGGTTTTGATCGGTGTCTAACTAGAGTTTCTCCCAGTGTTGCTGAAACAGAATAAATAGGATACTAAGACAAAAAGCACATACAAAAACAACATCATGCATCCTTACTATGCAAACATAAACTCATGTCTAGCATTTGGTACAGATCTGTACCAAATGCTTATAAGGGAGTATTTATATTATTATATTGTTCGCAAGTGAACAACATGTTCAAGAGCTCAAATGCTTCAGTTAATTACAAAATGCCAACATCCTCATCATTTTATATATACAGTTAAAGGTTATCAGAGTTTTTAAAACTTTCAATACCTATATTTACATGAACATCATCATCAACTTTGACATAGAAGTCAGCATCCCATAAGTTCACAGCAGCGGCAAAATATGTCTTTGTCTTTGCTGACAATTCGAGGTATCCTTCCACATGATTCTGCAGAAACAAAGAATCAAAACCTGAAAACCTTTTGCATTTTTCTTTTTCCCTCCAAAACCTATGACATTGTCTAGGGAAGCAGCAACAAAACAAAAAATATCATATAAGTCAAATTACCAGCCGCAAGAAATCTCCATGCTTTCTATCTTCTGCTTCAATAGCTCTGTCTAGGATACCCCCTGATGTAGCACTAGATAAAGGAGAAAAAACCAGATAAAGTTTACAATTCGTCCAGTATATTTTTGAGTAATGACTGATAAATTGATGGATATGTGTGCAATAACACTCTCAATGACAATATTTTACGGGAACTAGCAAACAAGAACTCAGAAGACTAAAATACAGCTTGAAGACATGGAGATCTAATTAATGTAGTCTTTTATTAAAGCATGTTGAACTGGGATTGAAACAAATTCATGATAAAGTCGCCAATTATGCAACAAAATCATTGAAAGAAAGATGAGATTGCTACCTGTGTCCAATTACAAAACGGATGATAATGCCCTTTTCTTCCTCTAGCTTCTTTCTTTTCTCACCTATTTTCCATGTTATTAAAAAAACCAATCATCATAAACCATAGCCAGTGAAGTAGATAGAATAAAATAAAAACTATAGCAGAAAATATTAGGATATGGGTTCAAATTATGAACCTTGTGGCATCCAGGTGGCCCGAACTGAGTCTCTTCTTTTCCGGCTGCTAAATGCAGTATTAATACCTATGACCATTAGGTACTTTCTCTTACCCGTTGAATCGGTCATCCTTATATCTTCTGAAACAGGAGCACCACTTCGTATAGACTCCTGAGCTGCCTTTGCAGCAGCCAATTCCATCTCTAAATTGGAAATAGTCTTATCCAAAGTTCTACATTCAATAAATTCCCATAAGTTTGGCAAGCAAAATAACAAAAATAACTAGACTTGCAATAGCATGATGGCATTACATATAACTTACTGTATGGAATTATGACTCTTGAAAACTTCTCTGTAAATGTCATTAGCTTCGCCCTTCATTTCCATCTCTTGCAACTAAAAGAGAGGCCAAGAGTCGTAAAAAAAATATGGGAATTTCAGATGATAACACACACACAAAAGGTTCAAGTCTTCAAGACACACTTTCTTTGATAACTACCACATTAGATGGAAATGAAACCGATGCTTACAATTCTCGAATTACAACCCTCTGAAACTGCATTTAATTTGTCAGCTTCTGTAGCTGTTGTTCGTGAAAGACCTTTAGGTTCAGGAACAGTCCACATCCTGTTATAAACATTAACATTTCTCATCAGAAAAGTTCCACAATAATTATCTTACAAATTGCATGCCAATGTATACAACGGCTAATATGATACAATGAAATATCAATTATCAACATCAACAACACCTTTATCTCAAACTAATTGGGGTAAGTAAATCCTGAAGCACCGATAAAGTTGTTTTTTTGTGACTGAACGGTTATGAGTTCTAATTCGGAAAATAGCCTATTTGTAAATATTCAAGAGTAAGGTTGTGTATACCTCACTCTTGCTAGTCGGGGTTTAAGGGGGAGTGATTTACAATAAAGTATGCATTAAAAAAATAAAAAATTAATGCACAGCCAAATGAGTTGGACTATCCTCAAATAATAACAAGACAGATCCAAAAATAATAGAATAATCTTTTAAGGTTTTAACAATCAAAATTAGGGCCTTCAATTACATCTACCAAGGATAAAACTGTGAGTGCCAATTGACATAAACAGTAATTTCCCCTTTTCACTTGAAAATCAGCAATTAAACTTGCGGATAAATTCATAAGAGATCAATAATTAGAACTGAACCCGGAACTAAATGTTCAACAAATTGGGAGATATTGAGCAGAGGAAGAGCTGTTAGACCAGACACCAGAGTTGACTTGTCAGTAAGAGTAATCGTACAGGGTAGAGGGTAAGCATGGAATCTAAAACCAAAAATTGGTATGATTTAGAATCATCATTCATTACAATTCAGCCCAGATCTAAATCCACTTCTTCTATGAATTTTGGTGAACATAAGATAGGTGAGAAAAGTTCTACATAGGCCAGTCAATGGATTAAGCACTTGAAAACCAATCAATTAAATAATTAAATGATTAATTATAGAAAAATGAGGTGTCATAAAGATCTGAGAACACTGATTTGCACATAAAAACAACAACTTAGAAAACATTGAAATCACTAGAAGGTTAATTCAGCTTGAACTTTGTTGAAAATCCAAGAAGAAATTGTAATTCATCAATAAATAAATAAAAATGTGAAATGAATCAAAAGGAAAAAGTGATGGACCTGTTAGTGAAGAGCATGCCAGCACAGAAGCTTCCGAGGCACAGCAAAAGTGTCCATCTCTGCAATATAGCGCTTCTAGAAGAAAACTCTCCTCTGCTTTTCCAAGTCATTATTTTTCTTTTTCTCTTTTTTGTTTTCTCTTTTATCAAACTATCTTCAAAATTCGCGCTTCAACAGAGAAAACCCATATGCAAAAATGAATTTTTGAAAGCGAGGTGGTCCTTTGAAAGAAGAAGAAGAAGATTTGTGTATGTTGTGGGGAGAGATAGAATCAGAACAGAACAGAGAGATGCTCTATCTTTTTTTTCTTTTTTTTTTTAACTTGTGGTTTGTTCCTTAGCTTTATCTTATGTATGCTTTTGGTTTGGTTTGGTTTGGTTTGGTGTTTATTTCTCTGTTTCTGTCTTTGCAGGTGTGGGAAGGGTCGTTGAACAGAAGAGACTTGCTAACCAACCAGTTTTATATTTACCATAATACCCAAACCAAACTGTCTTTGTCGGCGGCATTGCAAATGGACGCTCCAATATTACAATTTTACATTTTTACATTATTTTAAATGTTTTCTATTAGCTTTTTATTGATATTCATAAATATTAATTAATATTTAAAACGAAGAAATAGACACCAAATTTTTATGAAAGCGTGTGAAATTTTAAGATAAGAAAATTTATTCTCGTAAATTATTTCTTTAATGGAAATCACTTACAGTTTCTTGTATTGCATTCATGCTTTTTTTTAGGGATGATAATCTTTAACACTAATCATTAACATATATGAATACTACATGAAAAATTTGTATTTAGATTGACTTATTTTTAAATGTATCGTATTTGTTTTAAAAATAACTGACACAAAAAATTGTGTCACATTATGTATTAACTTATAAATATTAAATTAATCCGCGTTAATATTTTTATAAGTTACTCATATAGTGATATCATGTCGTATTGTATCAATACAATAATAGTGAAAGCAACACTTAATATATATAAGTTATTTGTATTTTATCATATCGTGTTAACCTGTATAATAAGTGATATATTTGAGGTTGATGCATTATTTGTGTCAACCTATAAAATAAATGGATCATATTTATGTCAAAAAATTTCACTTATTTTTGTAAATTCATATCTTTTATATTAAATATATTCACATTCATATTAAATTCGTATAGTGTAATGTGATACGAGTGATTCATATCTCACCATAATGCATCGTCAAACCAAACCTTTTTCTCTAATCCGCCGAATATGTGCAATAAAAACTGTACTATCTCTTCTTTTGGATGGTGTTTGGTTCAAGGATTTTCCGTTGTTTTTCATCAAAGTGATTCCCACATATCTAATTGTCCATGTTTGGTTTATTGATTTCTTCAATTTTACCCATCAAAGGGAGTTGCCTAGTTATCATGTTTTGCATATAAAAAGCAACAAAATGACGGTTCCAGAAAGCATTATTGAAGGTGGTATTTGTCTTTGAAACTGGATAAGTGAAAAGTGGTACAAATGGGTGACACAATTACCTCCACATGTGAAAAGGATAATGGTCCTATAGGGTTATTTTTAAAAGGCTAATTTTGTAATTTCAATAAATTTTCCAATCAATATTTTATCTTCAACCCAACACACATTCAGGAATTTCACTCAAATTTTTCTAGTAAAATTTTGCTCAACCAAACAATTTTTTTAAAACTTTTCTATCTAATTCACTTTCCCTGCAGATTTCTAGTAATTACGTTTTTCTAATAAAAACAAATTTCACCTGAATCAAACACCCCTGCTCTTTTTGGCACCCATCAATTACAATTAGATGACTCATATAAATATTGTCTTCAAGTTGTTTAAAAGAAAGAAAAAAATACAAGATAAATTATTGTTTTATAATTTAATTAAGAGAAATATGAGTGTAAAGTTATATATGTGTCATGCTATAGATATAAAAAGATATGGGTCTCACTTTTTTATATATATGACATGACACAAAATATATCATGTAACATGACACTCATATTTTTCTTTAATTAAAGATTGGTTGGTTTTTCTTATTTTTGTCTAATTCAACTTAGTTATTTTTTTTTTAATATTCACAATGAACTAAATGGAGCTCGCGGCAAAGAGTTTCTATTTCGGCCAACAAAACTGAATTAGACTCTTCAAAGACGAAGGAGGGATGCTTAACAAGTAATGGTTATATGTATCAATCGAAAAACAAGTGTTTTTAATGGCTCCAACTCTTAATATTAGAAAGATTTTCAACCTTTAGCTCAAACTTATATGTCACGTAAGTTATCCTTAATACTAATATATTTTGTTCTAAACTTAAAAGGACATGGTTAGCTATTAGATTGTCAAATTTTGTTACTTTAAAAATTCTGAGACACATATTATATTTGGCAGTTTAAAATTAGGGATAGGTTATTCTGTCTATTTTATTTTGCCTATCTTTGTCTACCTTTCTCAACATCGTTAGATTACAATCTCATCCAACGGTGGAGATTTGCGGAATAAAATAAACTATTTTTCCTTTTCTTTCTCCTTAGTGCCTCCCAGACTCCTTTTCTCTCCTCCCCTTTCTCTTTATTGATTTGCGTAATTTATAACCTGAATTTATATTTGAATCTAAATCCATGTAATGATTAATAGTATGATAGTTCTGCTGGATAAGTATAATTAAAATTTCTTGAATCTGATATAATTGAACATGGCAAAACCACAAAATTACAAAAAAACGAAAACCATGAATAACCCTTCATTTGAATTAATCCACAATTACAGTAACGTTTCTACTTTGCTGTTGAAATTTGAAACGAATCAACTTATCTCATTTTACTTATCTTATTTTTTCATCTTGAAGTAGGGAAATGATCTTTGTTCTCTCTGTTACGCCCAACAACAGGCCTACCGAGTTCCATAACATAGGGCATCTGTGTTTATTTCTTCTTGACACTCCATTTCAATTTTTTATGTAAATGCTCATAACAATAGCTGCGCTGGATGAATTGAGAAAAAAGCTTGCACCTTTTTTTGATGCAGAAGCGTCATTGCAGAAAAAGAAAGGAGAGGAGAGAGAAAGAGTGAGAGGCAGTGGGAGAGAGAAAGGGGCAAAAGAGTTTATTTTATATAGTAAATCTCCACCATTAGATGGAATTGTAATCTAATGGTATTGAAAGAGGTAGGCAAATGTAGGCAAAATAAGAGTAGGCTGAATAACATATCTCATAGTATGATAGTTATGCTGGATGAGTATAATTTTCAAAATTTCTTGAATCTGATATAATTGAACATGGCAAAACCACAAAATTACAAAAAAACGAAAACCATGAATAACCCTTCATTTGAATTAATCCACGATTACAATAACGTTTCTACTTTGATGTTGAAATTTGAAACGAATCAACTTATTTCCTTTTACTTATCTTGTTTTTTCATCTTGAAATAGGGAAATGATTTTTGTTCTCTCTGTTAAGCCCAACAACATGCCTATTGGGTTCCATAACATAGAGCATTTGTGCTTATTTCTTCTTGACATTTCATTTCAATTTTTTTATGTAAATGCTCATAACAATGGCTGCGTTGGATGAATTGAGAAAAAAGCTTGCACTTTTTTTTTTATGCTGAAGCGCCATTGAAGAAAGAGAAAGGGGAGGAGAGAGAAAGAATGAGAGGCAGTGTGAGAGAGAAAGGATAAAAGAGCTTATTTTATATAATAAATCTCTACCGTTAGATGAGATTGTAATCTAATGATATTGAAAGAGGTAGATAAAGGTAGGAAAAATAAGAGTAGGCAGAATAATTTATCCCTTAGTTCATATATAAACTTAAAAGAATTAAGAAAAAAGTCTTAAATTACTAAAAATATTAATTATATTTCACTTTTTGAATTATTTATTATTGTTACAAGAAATTCTTTGACTTGAGTATAATGTGACATTAAGGAGAGTATACTCTCAAAATTTACCTAAATTTGTCAGTTAATTACTTAATTATATGATTATTAATTTTTATAAGGTGATTTTATAAACAATTCAACAAGAAACATCAATGTTATTAAACCCGACCTGAGCATCGACCCGGTCGGGATATTAGGTTACTGGGTCACTAGTCAGATCGGTGGATCACTGGTCGGACCGATTGACCCGGATATATATAGATATATAAAAATAAATATAAATATGAACATATAAATTCAATTATATTTTTCATATTTAAAATGAATTAAACAAGGTTCATTAAATAAACTCAAAAACAAGAAGCATAAATAAATAAAAATGCATGCTATTACTATATCAATTTAAATTGCAACTCAGAATCTCCATAAACATATCTCTCAATGACATTGACCTCATATTTTTCAAATTCAACTACATTAAAAATGACATATGTCACATTCTCTTAATTTATTATTCAGCAAATTACTTCAGTGTTATAAGCTGAAATTTGAGATCATTGTAGAAGAATATATTAGCAAATAAAATTACAAATAAAATTAAAATGAGCTCTACATTTTTTTTGACAAGATGATACAATTTTGGTTTTTTGATTTTTTTTTTAAATGCATGACCCACCGGGTCACCGATTTTGACCGAGTTTGATCGATTTTGTCCGGATTTAGACCGGTCTTGACCGGATCGATGCATGACCAGTTCAATGCTTGACCTGAATCGGTCCGATGACCGATTCACCAGGTTCCAGGTCGACCCGGCCTGGTCGGGCTGGGTTTTACAACTATGAGAAAAATATTAAAATATTTTCGTAAAAGTTATAACAAATGACGGCAATTTTTCATACTAACAAACAAACACTTAAAAGGTTTCTGTCTTTTAGTTTTTGGTTGCTTTTTTCTTTTCGGGTAAACAGCATAAATATATGGCTTTATTATCTTTGACAATGATATATTTAATTATGAACTGATCTTATCTCATGTTGTAGACACGTGATGGGATCAGTTGTTTATTTTTTTTTTTAAAGTCACAATTTTTGATAAATTTAATGAAGACAAATTACTCTCATATTACATGAGAGTAATTTTTCCTATTTTATATGATTAGTTTTTCATATGGAGATTTTTTGGGTATAAAAAAAAGGAGTTTGATTTTCTCATGTTACATTATGAATTCTCATGTTTGTGACTTAACTAGTGGTGGATCCAACATTTATTAAAAAGAGAAAAAAAACTGTGCACGCAAATTGAAAGATGACAACATGAGAATTGAATTCTCATGCAACATGAGAAAATATTTTTCCTAAGGTGGTGTTTGGTTGGAGCTTTTTGTGAAGATACCTAGACATATAAGATTGGGTTTTTGTGTTATCCATGTTTGGTAAAAAAAATTACAAAATTTTCTTAGCTAACTTGGTTCTCCATCATTTCATAATTGTGTATAAAAAT